AAGGAATGGGATGTAGCTCAGCATGAAGTTCTTGGGTTCAATATCCAGTATAACAAAACAACACAACAACGAAAATAATTCATAGAATAAAATAGAATAGAATAGATAAATACGTGTGCAGAATTAAGAATCTCCTACTAGGTATCAACCCGAAGGCGGAAGAGAGTGGTCCCAGTGCCCACACCTTCAGTGTAATCTGCGCACCCTGATTCCCTCTGAACAACACAGTAGAGAACGCAGTGAAACCCATTCTCCTCTTTAGGGAGAAGCCCAGGAGCACTGCTGCAGGACAGTAGTTGGGTTCAGGGAAGCAGCACATCAATAGTATCCTGGAGGCAATGAAAATGTCCCTTTACCTCTGATTTTTCCCCTCTAAACTCCTAAACCCAGTCTAACCTCTAGAGGAACATCAGGTGATTCCTAAGTGAGGGAAATGCTACAAAAAATAATACTCCTTAAAAATGTCAAAATAATCAAAGACATGGAAAATCTGGGACACTGTCACATTCAAACACGGTGGAAGGACACTACAGCTGTATGCAGTGTGGTGTTCTGGATGGGCCCCTCGGACAGGAAGAGGGCAGAGACAAAGGCTGAGGAGACCTGAGGAAAGTGTTACAGGCAGTGTATCAGTGCTACTTCACCGACTATAATACATGCACCACACTAATGTAAGATTCACAGTAGAGGAAACTGGACCAGGGTGTTATGGGAACTTTCAGTTCTGTCTACAAGTTTTCTATGCTCTAAAACTGTTCTAACATTAAGCAGTTTTTTGAAAATCACCATCAATCCAGTCAATTAGCAATAAACAGAAATATTTTCATGCAGACTGCATTTTTTGGATGTGTATAATTTTGTTTTTCAGTGTGGCTTCATACTGTATATAATAATTTCTTTTTATTTGACATTTAATGAATGTGTTTCCATGCACTACAGTTCTACAACACTGTTTCTTATTTTTTTATTTATTGTAAAAATAAAAGAAGGAAAACATATTAACAAACAGACATTCATTTACAAATTGGCATAAGAACAATACAAACAAAACAGTTACAGACAAAGTTGTAGGAAATTAACCATGGTTGTTGTATTACTTATTGATATCTTCAAAGTGGTTTCTCAGGAAAACAAATAGAGACATGCAATATTAATCAAACAAGTAATCATTAACTGTTCCTTTCAGTAAAGAAATAGAAGACAGTAGTACAACTATATTAGCTATCCTGTATAAACATACATACATAGTTTCCCCTCCTTTCCCTTTTCTTTTCCCACACCCCAGTTGCCCTTTACTTGTGAGCATTTTCCTTTCATTTCACAATGTCTAGCATACTTCCTAGTATTTATTCACTCTTTCAGGTTCTCACGTTAGTAAGACAATACATTGCTTACACATGCAGGTCTGATTTATTTCACTTATGAGTATGGTCTCTAGTTGTGACCATTTACCTTCAAAAGCCTTGAGTTTATCTTTCTTTATAGCTGAGTAATATTCCATTATATAAAAATACCACATTTTTTTATCCAGTCCTCAGTGGATGGACATTTGGGTTACTTCCACAATCTAGCAATTACAAATTGTGCTGCTATGAACATGGGTGCACATATATGGCTGTGATATGATGTTTTCAGATCTTTGGGAAAATACCCAGAAGGGGAATAGCTGTATCGAATGGGACCTCTAGTCCCAGTTTACTGAGGAATCTCCAAACTGATTTCCATGGTGGTTTCACCAGTCTGCATTTCCACCTGCAGTGGAGAAGGGTTCCTATTTCTCCACAGCCTCACCAGCATTCGTTATTGGTTGATTTCTTAATGCTAGCCATTCTTACTGGGGT